TTTTTCAGAAAAATTTCAAAATAGCTTCAGGTAGGCAAAAAATTTTATTTTACAAAACCAATTTGATAATACAAACTGTTCTTTTTTCAAATCAAAATGAGCGATTTGTTTTGTTGAACAGTTTTTGAATCAGTTCAGATTTCAATAAGTTTTTAGAGATTGTGAGCAAAACCTACTGAGAATTTAGCTGATTATAAGGTACAGCTGAAAAAAATTGCATTTTATTTGAAAAACTCCTCCGCTTCATTTCAATCCAATTCAAGCACCAACAAGAATAAAATTTTTAGAAAAAACCTATGACATCTATCCCAAAGTTTGAAGCCAATCATAAAAAACGGACGATTTACTGCATCCAGTTTAAAATTGATATCCAATGTACCAAAATTCTTAAATTTATTAAAACCTCCCTGTCTATCTAGCAAATTATCATATATCTTCCAGAATGGCAAGAACTAGAGAATGAACAAAACAGAGATTTTCGAAAAAAGTAGTTTTGTCTAAGTCACCTTCGAGAAAAAATACGAGATAAAATATATGATTCAAATGAAAACAGTTTTGATGAAAATGTGGATCTGAATTCAAAATTAGTTTTAGTTTGCTTACAAGTGAACATTAACTACAAAGACTGTTTTTAAAGAAATGGCTGAATTTGATATCTTCTACAGAGATCCGAAGAAGTGTTTCGGTCCCTTAAGAATTTCTCTGTAAGTTTGGTGAAAAATTGAGACCATTCGTGATAGAACGTAGAAGAAAAAAAATTATTGATTCAACAGAATAAATTATCTCTGTTGAGGAGGAGAAGAAAACATGATGTAGCGCATGAAGAAGAAAAAGACAGCGACCAAATAAAGTTTTAGAACTTTTAAGAAACTTAATTAATTTTTTTTATTTGTTTGTGAATTTTTTTTCGACGCATGCTTTTGTTCATCTGTTTGATTTAATGATTTTCACCAGCCGTTTGTGTAGGTCGTTTCTGGATCTTCTTTGTCTAATGTGACTGATTTTCTATCTGGAGAGAAGTTTCTGTCATTTCTATCTGGGGACAAGTATTTTTTGCTCCTGGCACTTGCGAGTTCCGATTGCTTGTTGGCATAGGGAACTTTCCTTTCTTAAATCTCTTCAGTTAGAATTGCTGCTTCTTTTGCGTTCGAGATCTTCATTTCTGACATTTTTTCAGAAAACTTTTGTTTCGTTTTAAAGTTTTCCTACTCTAATTCTGCTATTCTTTGTCTCAGTTGCTGGTTTTTTTTTACGTCATTGGATTAGTTGCTGACATGCGACAACTTTTCTAGTTTCTCTGGAATCGCGTAGCTGACTCAATTGTGAGCTTAATTGAGATTTATCTCTGGTAATCACTTCGGCCTTGCTAGTATCGTCAATATACTCTTCAACTTCTCTGATGACGTCTTAGTGTAACGTTGTGGATTTTTTGTTGTCGGCTTTTTCAGTTTGTAGTTTGTTTCCCACTTTGACACAATCTGTCGTTCTTTCTCTTCCATTTTATCTAGGCATTTGTAAAGCTTTTCGAATTGTGCTTTCACTCGACAAGATTTTGTTTTCTCCTCCATCAGTTGATTTATTTTATCGTTTGCGCGGATAATTTCTTGATCGCAACTGTCGATTTTTCTTCTTTCAGCCATGATCCATCAATTTATTTTCGTAGCATCTTGGGCCTGAACGTGTCGTTGTTTTTCTATCGTCGTCGATCCGCTCGTCATTTTGTCTGTTCTTCTTTGATTGTGTCTTTTGATCGTGTCAAGGTGAAATTAGTGTCAGAGGCAACAATTGAAGGTAGTCAAAAGGTTATTTTAAAAAATATTGTTGCCGTGTGGCCAACAAATGGAAACACTCAATCAAAATAAATATTTTCAATTGTGTTTGAAGCGAAATTTTGAATTTTTCCAATTAACTTTTTGCAAATTACCCCCTGGTTTAGAGGCGCAGCATTCAGTGTGAACTATTGTCACTAAATTATGTAGCCTGGTTTTTGTTATCTTAGAGATAATTTTTTAAGGAATATTTTCCGATGCGGAATTACAATTTATTTTCACTATTGCGAATTTCCAATCAGGGTTATTTAAAATTGAGTCCCGGTGAAATAGTATAACTTTCATCAACTCGAGAAGTACACATAAGAGATTATAATATAATTAAGTTGAATATAAGTTAAATAAAACATTGTTTCTAATCTTTGCTAGTAATTTTGTTAGTTGCAGATTTCTTAGCAGCTCTTGATCGATTATTATTTGTATCAAGTTTTCTCTCGTTTTTTTTCTGTCTTTTGATCTGTTCAGATTTTTTTCCCAATTCTGTTGTCACAGAGTCTAAATTTCAAAAGTCTGCGCCATAATCATCTGGCAATTTCAGTATTTCCCCAAAAAGATAAAAAATATTGTTGTTCAAATCGAGATCGCAGTCATAAATGCCTCAGGCTAACAAAAATATAAATATAAGTCGATTGTATTTGCTGGCAAAAATGACCCAAATTGATAGGTCTGCTGCTCGGCGGTAATACGTGGTATCTTCACTTTTTTGTTGAGCAAAATTCTGAAAAACTCCTGTCAATTTTTCTGAGGTTGCATATTAATGGTTTCAGTTTAAAGAGCATGACTTTTTTTTATTGATTATCAGGTTAAAGAAAAAAAAAATTGTACTATTTTACGATCATCAATTAGTACTCAATAATCTCTTTTATGCTCAAAACAGTCACTCTCCAGATAAGGAAAAAATTGAATGAAAATTTATATTTAGCCGTTACAAATTGTTATTTGTGCAACGAATTTAAAAGATCAACCGAATCCAAATTACTTTGAAACTATTCAAAGTCAGGTGCCGCGATTTGAACGCTAGATATGTCATATTGAAGCCATTTACTTCTTGATTCATACTGCTTTTTGAAATATTTTTTATGTGCTCCAATTGAACTAGTTGTCACATTCGTCAAAAACTAACAAACAAAGTTTCGTTTGGATAAGGAATAGTCTACCAAGTAATTGAGATAAGGCCAATAAGTATACCGGTCTTTTACCAAACTAAATATCTCTCATACTTTTTGTTACAACCTCAAAACTGTTACTTTGATTTCTGGTTAGTTTTTATCGTCGTAAAAACAAGCACCGCAGAAAAAATGAGGCTATAGGCCAGATAAGTCGTCTTATCTTTGTGCTTTTCAGCGCAGGAATCGAAGCTTCTCTCAATTTTTTTTTTCAGCTTCCAGTATTAATGGTTTCAAGTTTGAAGTTTTGCTGTTTTAATAATAATCAAATTAATAATCTAATATCAAAATTTTTTCTATTTTATAGTCAAAAAAATTGTACTCAACTGAACTATTGTGCGCTCAAAAAGCCGCCACCACCCTCAAGATATGAAGAAAAAAAATAATTTCAAGAAAATATATACTTTGAGGTTGCAAAATGTAATTTTCGTAAAACGACTGAACGCCAGATGTGTCGTGTTTAAGCCATTTATTTCTTGATTCAAATTGAATGTTGAAGTAGTTCAAAAAAGGTTTTCAAAATGATAATTTTGGTTTCAGACCACCTGACGGCTGTCTCGCCTAGTTTTGCTTGACTAACCGCTAGTTTATGAATGAATGTTAGATGTCAAAGTGTGATGTCAAAGTTTATGAATTAAATGTTAGATGTTCAAGGTCGGGACACGTTTATTATTCATCTTGAATTAACGCAACCAATACGTAACCAATTCGAATCAATTTCTATTTTAGTTTTACTTTAGTTTGAGTTTCCAACTAGGTTAATATTTCAGATTCATTGGAGATTAGAATCTATAGTCACAAAACTCGATGTTTTTTAAGCAAGCGATGAAGCTAAATTTAGTCTTTTATAACAATTATTTAGCTATTTAGAAAAATTTCTTGAAGCTTATTCTCAACCTTCCTGCTGAAAACGAAAAAAATGTGAAAATTTTTTTGAACAAACTTCGGACATTGATTCGAAATTTTAATTTGATTAAGATTACTTAAAATTAAGGTGAAAAGTGTCCTGGGATAAAGATTCATAGGTTAATACGAATTCTCAAGGTGAGTTCTGGCCTAATTTGATTCTGTAAACTGAAGCAGGGGTGAACGATTGAAACAGATTTACTAGAAAGACGATGTTATATTTGAAGGAAGGTATTGCTATAAATAACAACCAAATAACATTTGTCTTGCTAACTATCCCCCCCCCCCCTATGGTACCTTGATACGAATACCCATCCCCCCTTATAACGGAAGAATTGAACAGTTAAGCATGTACGAACTTGTACCTGTTAACTATTTCCCTATTGCAATAGGTGGGATGGGGAATTGTTAACAGGATCATATTTGTAAACTATAGCACTGCAAGCGAGGGGGGCGTTTAACAGGGTCTAGGACAACAAGCCGACGGGACTTCAAGCCGAAGGGACTACAGGCCGAAAATTAAACTTTACAAGCACCTCAAATAATTATTTTTTCATCTGTAAAACGTTTCTTTTCAAAATCTTAGGCTAGTTCAGTCCGTAATAAGCGTTATTTATGACAATGCACTACTTTGGATTGGCATTAGTTAATAATATCAGCCGTTTTTTGAAATGCATAAATTATAAACAAGAAAATTACCTCCAACCGTGTTTTATTTTTCAACTTTCCTAAACTTCACTTGGAGGTTTAAATTTCGTGAAAACGCTACTAATTACCGGTTGAAGATAATGAAATTGAGAAATTCTGTAAAAAAAAGTTTTCAAAATAACCTGATTTCATGACTTAATGAGAAAATTTTCGGCTTGAAGTCCCTAATTTAACGATTCGGCTTGAAATCCCGTCGGCTTGATGTCCGGCACCCCGTTTAACAGTGCCGAAGTACAACAGTGCCGAAAAAGGCGGAAAAATTTCAGAATAATTTACACGCATTTTCTAAAGAGCGAGAAATTAATGACGCTAATTATCAAAGAAAATCACTCCAATTTTGGCGCCAATATGTCTGCAACTGCAAATTAAACAATTAATTTGGCACCAAAACGTCTAAGATGCAAATTTTCTCGCTCGAAACATTAAAGTCTCATTTAAGATTGTAATTGATCGCCGTTTAATTTTTGATTGCCGCACTTAATATGTTGAAATTTATTCAAATATTCGGCACTGTTGAACAAAGTTTTCATTTTCGGCACTGTTGTACTTCAGCACTGTTGTACTGCCCCCAAGCGAGTGTTGGAAGGTAGTCATTAGACATCGCTTCAAGGATCATAATCTGCGCAATGAACTGGCACCTCCAATTGACCCTGGTTTGTTACTCGTCTGAATTCTTGACATTCCTCCTAATGATTGCCGTTTGCTGCCACCTTTAGTGCCCAATTGTGACCTCTGTTCTATTGACCTCTGTCCGATTGACCTCTGACCGATTGATGTCTTGCGATTTGATCCCAATTGGGAGCCTCCATCTCCATTTCCACCCGCTTCTGATGCCGAGTCCAGTTCCAGTTTCATCACTTCTTGATAGTCTATCATGAGTCTCTTGTAGATAACCTGAAACTTTCTAGTCAACAAAGATATTTAAATACACAACTTGCAAGCATTTTGATCTGGCCTCAATTTTGTAAAAAAAAAAAACATTTTGATGCCTAGAATCTAAATATTAGCGACTGCATTGAAGTCTGCTTTGTCAAAAGCAGATTCCAATTATCCCTTCATTGCTGAGCTGGAAATTAACAAGGGTTTGTAAAAAGGTGGCTGTTAAATAGTTAATTGACTGAATTCTAGTTCGCATAAATAAGAGAGTGAACTTAGAGGTCAACACTTAACAGCTAGACAGCTTTAGTTGATTGACAGGCAGGTACCAGTCTCACACTTGATTAAGGTCTGGGAACTAATAATAGCAACTCGAATGATTGACACTAAGATGATGATTGACAACTGAACATATTGTAGCCCCTGACATTTCCGTATGGATGTAAAATTTAAATACATAGTAATTTAAATTTAAGTATAATAACCACATCTTCAACCTGCCGCCTCAACTATCATATAACAAACAACTATCAGTTTTTAACAATTTGAGTTTTAGGCTTTATGGCCATCCCTCTCCCTGGGTTAACGAGTTTTCGAATAATGTGAAATAAGTTCATTTCCCTTCTCCCCCTGGATGTGTTCCTGGTTGTTCCGCCCCCTGGATGGTTTCGATCATAACTCCTCCCATTTTGTCTACTGGCTTTCTCCTTCTAGTACTCCTCCTGGTTCCCGAGCTTTCACTTTGGCTTCCTGATTCAACTTCCTCCTCCTGACTGCTATTTACAAGACACTCCCGCGCCGCTAACGCTGGACGTTCCTGGCTTTCCTTCAATTGTTTACTTTGGCCCCCTTTTCCTCGCTTAGCTCTTGTCACTCTGGATTTAGCTTTAGCTCCCGTTCCTCCTCCCACTCCTGTCGTACTGCCGCTTGGGCCTTGTCCCGCTGCAATTGCCTCGCGCCTCGCTAGCAATTCTACCGGTAGTCGTACCGGAATGTTTAATGGCAGATTGTCTTCCGTATCCGAACTGTCGGACTCGAAGGTGGCTAATTGGACTGTCTGCGTGGTCTTAGCTCGTTTTGATTTCGGGCTCACTACTGCCCCTCTTTTTGCGCTCGCTAGCATATCCTTGAGCGTGGCCGGCTTCCGTTTCTTGGGAAGGTCATGTTTCGGTTTTGATGCCACTGCACTTTTCCTAAGAACGGATCCGTTTTTAAGTTTAAAAGTATGTTCGGATTCAGAGATTACGTTTGACTTTAGTAATTTATACCGATTTAGGGTCTTGCTGGTAGTACGCTGGTATAGATTTCGTCCTTTTCCACTCCCCTGGATGTTAGGTCCAGTGTCTCCACTCCCTTGGGTGTGTGGGGCAACTTCCGATTCCCCCCTTGGACATGCGTCCATTTGTTGGTCACTATCCAGCGTGATAGGGGCCCTTCGCAAGGCTGGAGCGTATGTTAGATCCGACCTCTCCTCCCAATTTGAATGCTGAGGGAATGCAACTTTGCTCAACTCAGGATCATTTTCGTCTAAACACAAACATTTTTGTTTTAGGACGTTGTTCCAATTCAAATTCTTCAAACTTGGTTTTTTCGTTAGATTTCGTAAAACAGTATTGGCCTCCCTGCCGTGGTGAGCTTCAAAAGGCGTTAATTTAGTAGTTGCATTTTTGGAGAATCGTAGAGCGCCTAGTGCTTTATCGACCATAGATTCTAGAGATTTATGTTCTTTTTCTGTCGCATATGTTAAGACAAAATTTTTCAAACTTCCTATCGTCCGTTCAACGGACCCCGTGCCTCGATGGTCATTTACTGGGGAGTACATTAGCTCGATGCCTTCCTCGTTACAGAAGCTTTTAAATTTATTAGAGGTAAAACATGATCCCTGATCAACGTGGATCTTCCGAGGTACTCCATGATGCGATATGTACTTAACAAGGAACTTTAAGACCTTATCTGACGTATTAGTAGTAGTAACCATTGCTGACGGCCACCTTGAGAATCGGTCCGTAGCAACCAAAACATATTTCTTAGTTTCATTCAAATAATTTATCGGCCCCCAGAAATCCAACTGTAAACATTCATTGGGTTCCCTTGGTTCTGGAACCTTTCCCATGTCGCCCTTGGGTAATAACGGTTTCAGGTTCTTACCCGCTTCCGTGCATTGCTGACAGTACGTGGCCTTTGCTGCCAAACTTCGGTACATATAAGGGTACCAGACGTCCCGAGCTGCTTCGAACATGTTTCTTTTACCATGATGGTAATAGTGTATCCGTGATTCAACTGGGACTTGTAAGGGTAAAGGGATGACCAATCGTCCGTCCAACCACACACAATCGTCCCGTAACGACAGATCGTTAGCATATTGAGCCCAGTATTTCCCAATCTTCAGGAGTTCTTCCTTCAAGTTAGTCTTCTTCTCCAATGCTTCTTTCACTCGTAACAAGTTTACATCCGCTGGTATGTTCGAGGCAACAAATTCTAAATTAAAAAGTTCTGGTAACGATTGAGACTTCTTAATAACCTTGCAATCACGGGGAATGATGGACATAATTTGCTGATTCGGATTAACAGTAGGAAAAAGCTCGCCTGGAAATTTCGAAGGTATGGAAAGTACTGTATTAACTTTTGAATCCCGTGTGTTTTTAGTAATTGCAATAATTTCAGGGTTAATGATAGTTATTTCATCGCTACTCAATAAGTTTTCGTCTAGTCTAAGTGGAGAGTTGATCTGAGGTTGTAGTATATTCGGATTGTTAGTTTGGGAATCGATTGTAACATTTTCAACATTTTCAATTTCAAATACTGGGAAAGAACAATTAGAGTCGCTATCCATTTTGTTTGAGTGTTTTGATTTAGGCAAATTTAACCGTCTTCCAAGGGAACAATATATAGAGCACACTGAATGTCCCTTGGATTTCTTTGATTTACGCAATATGCAAATTGATCGTTTCCTATTGGACGCTGTCTTCACGCATGACTTTCCGCCCTCAACCGTCGCTGGTTGAATGCATGTTATTCGTTCTCGCTTGTGATTGGATGAAAATCGTTTAGACTGTTTAGAACCAGTTTCTTCAGTATTTTGATAATTTCGTTTACCAAGGGGTTTTAATTCCTTTGAAAAACCAAGGGATTTTCTGATCGAAGCGATTTTTGCCACGGTGAACAAATTATCATATTGACTTATCGGTTTAGGGGGTTCGCTAGGATGCCTTGACAAATAATCTGCCAATCCTATCTTGGCGCCCGATTTGTGTTCTATTACAAAGTCAAAAGGAATCAGTCTGTCCAGCCAACGTGTTAGTCTTGAAAAAAGTGTTTTGTTTTTCTTGTTATTTCCGTTAAGTAATGAAATTAAAGCCTTATGATCGGTAATGACTGTAAATGATCTTCCTAGGATGTAATTTCTGAAATACTCGGCCCCCCATACCACCGCCAGCATTTCCAGCTCGTTGGTGGAATATTTTTTCTCGGCTGCGTTTAAGAATCGTGATGCAAAAGATATAGGGCGCCACCCTTCTGTACCCAATTGCTCTAACACCGCTCCAAGGCCGTTGTGACTTGCATCGCAAACAACTCTAATGTCCTTATGAATATCAAAGTGTTTTAATTCAACGATGTTCGCTACCCCCACTTTAATATTTTGGAAAGCATTTTCACATTCCGCGGTCCAGTTATACTCGTTTTTCTTGCTGAGGAGTGGCCTTAATGGAGCTGACATCTCCGCTATCGCCGGTAAATATTTATGCAAGCTGTGGATTGAGCCCATAAATGACTTTAGTTGCGTTACTGTTTTAGGAGCTTTTAGTGCGTCTATCGGCGATGTTTTTCGTTTAAGAGGCGTGACCCCCGTTTCGGTTATACGATGGCCAAGCCACTCGCATTCGCGTTTCGCAAACTCGCATTTAGGTAACTTCAAGGATATATTTTCGTGGTTTAGTTTCCGGAGGATCTTTTCAACCAAGGAGATATGTTCTACTTCCGTTCCCTTGGTTGTAACCAAAATGTCATCAATGAACGCGTTCGCTTGTGGGAATTCGTTCAAGATTGAGTCCATTACTCGCTGGAACTCTGCCGGCATTGACGTTAGCCCGTAAAACCCTGTTCGGAAACGGTAAGTTCCTGTCGACCGTCCGCCCACCAAAGAAAAATTACAGTGCACGCTTGTCTCTTCACTAAGCGGTAGTTGCCCATACGCGTACGTTAGGTCCATCGTAGTAAAGTACACCTCCCCTTGTTTTTTCTCGGATATAAGTTGTCCTATTGTAGTTCTTCTATATTTGGCATCTGATATTTGTTTTTATGCACTTGTTTGTTAAGTTCTCGTGATTCCAATGCTAATTTTACGGACCCGTCTTTTTTCACGGTGATGACGATCGGAGAAACAAAATATCGATCCGAACACTCTTTCAATTTTTCTATGTGTCCCTGAGTTAATAGCTTATCAATTTCTTTGTCCACTTTTTCTTGGAGCGTTACCGGCACTCTCCGTCCCTTCTGCTGCACTGGTACAAGATTTTTGAAAAATTCCGCTTGAACTTTGTAGTTCCTAATTTTTCCAACTCTAGTAAAAAGTTTTGGGAATAGCTTACTGAAGTATGACTACCATTGATCCATCTGCTCCTCCTCTGGTTCATCGTGTCCCTCCTTGCATGAAATGTCCTCCGCCCCCTGGATGTTCATGACCTCCCCCCTTGGATCTGCTTGCATCAACTGTAGTCCAAGTTTACCCATCAAATCACGTCCCACGATGGACGGTCTGGTCCCCCCAATGACTCGGACTTCTGCTGTCGTCTTCCAGCCGTTTGATGCTAACTCGAGTTCCATTCTGCCCAACATCTTGATCCGATTGTTACTGTAATCTCGAAATTCGTCATCGTCAGTGTTATCCTGCTTCAAGTTGATTCCCGCTCTTCCCACTGTTCTTCTCAAATCTTCTAGTGTTAGAATGGATATCGGCGATCCACTGTCGATCCAAATGTTCATCGGGTGCCCATTAATGAATACTTTGAGTTTAGGCC